GGACATTGAATTGTGTGCTGTTGGACTCAAACCGTATTATTTGCCCGGGGACTTTACCCAGGTGATGTTGGTGGCTGTTTATGTTCCTCCCTCTGCTAACCCCAAAGTGGCATGTGACATTGTACATTCTGCCTTAGCCCGGTTGCAGACTCAGCACCCGAGTGCCTCCATAGCTATCTTGGGTGACTTCAACCATGTTACTTTGGACCCTACACTTCCAACCTTCATACAGTGTGTATCCTGTCCCACCAGGGGGAGAAAATTTCAGACCTACTGTATGCTAATGTCAAGGACGCATACAGATCCTCCCCCCTCCCCCTCCCCCCACTGAGTAGGTCAGATCATAACCTGATTCTCCTCACCCCCTGCTATGTGCCTGTTGTGAAGAGGGAGCCTGTGACCACAAGGTGTATTAGGAGGTGGTCGGAAGAGGCCTTGGTGAAACTAAAGGGCTGTTTTGAGGTGACAGACTTGCAGGCACTTTGTGAGCCCCATGGTGAGGACATCAGTGGGTATCACCCATTACATAACCTTCTGCACCGACTCTATTGTCCCAGGTCGACTGTCCATTTTTAAGCAAATAACAAGCCATGGGTGACTAAGGACATCAAAGCCCTCCTCAATGACAAGAAGAGGGCCTTCAGAACGGACAATAGAGAGGAGGTGAGTATGGTTCAGAGATTATCGAGGGGCATGAACAGAGAGGCCAAGGACAATTATAGGAGAAAGCTGGAGTGGAAACTCCATCAGAACAGCATGAGAGAGGTATGGAAAGGCATGAAGATCATCACTGGATTCAGGCCATCCAACAGCAGAGGGGATGAGGGAAGTGAGGACAGAGCCAACGAGTTGAATTGCAGAATCGACTCTGCAGTTGATGCCCATCCCCCTACTCACTTATCTGCAGTCAGCCTGGAATCCACAGCCACAGCACTCTCTCCTCTGTCCCTCCCTATCCTCCTGTGAAAGGGGACCAGTGTTCTCCCACCTGTCACTGTCACTTAAGACCAGGTTCAGAGACAAATGGGAAGAATCCACTCAAGGCAAGTTTGCAGGATCAGACAGGGTGAGACCCCAACACTGGCCAGCCCCAATCCTGCTTAGCTTCACCCAGACTACCCACTCCAAACTGCAGGAACCATGGATGCTGACAGCTTAAAACACTGATCACTGAGAATATGAGCTGGAGCCTAAAGAAAGCAACTACATCAGTTACCTACAGGGGGTTGTACAAGGGGGTGGCCAGATATCCCAGTGGTTAGGACCAGTGTTCAAGTCTCCCCCCCCACTCCCATAGCTCCCTGTGTGTGGAACCTGCACAGTCAGGTAGTCCCAGACACCCTCACCCATAGCCTGAGAAAAGAGATGGCCAGATTTCAGTCAGGACATCACCCCTACTTTTTCCAAAAGATACCAAACAACCCTTAATGAGGCCTAACAGTAAAGAACCATGATCTTCCCAGACCAAGAAACCATCTAGGCTCCCATCCAAACACTGGCCAGACCAAATCCTGCTTAGCTTCACAAAGACTACCCACACCAAACTGCAGGAACCATGGTTGCTGACAGCTTGAAACACTGATCACTGAGAATGTGAGCTGAAGCCTAAAGAAAGCAACTACAACAGTTGCCTACAGGGGACAGTAGAAGGGGGGTGGCCAGATAGCACTGTGGTTAGCACTACTGCCTCACAGCCCAAGGACCAGGGTTCAAGTCTGCTCACTAATTCAATGAACATGACAGTTAGCTTAGCTTTACCATATATGGCTACACATCTATTCATCCCATTACAGCAAAACCACTTAACTATGCACTTTAAACATTCTTTACACAGCTTCACAACAGTCTCCTGTCTCACTCAAAAATATCTGCATCTCTCTGGGAGGAACTCACCTGTGGTTGGG